ATCAGATTCTACCTCTTTCTCGATATTAATGTATTTCGATAGGTTTGGTAGCCAACGGGATGCATAAATACGCAACGCTTCACAAATGAGATTTCCAGGGACTTTTCCACCAGATTTGATCTCTATCATTGTTCTCCAATATAGATCTATGCTTAATTCTGCTATATCTTCAGCCCACCAGCCTTTCATCATAGGTTTATATCTCAGACTCTCGGACCCGTTGCACGATACATCATCTCGACCCATTCTTGAGTAACTGTGCGATAAACTCACCTTCGAGGGATGTGCAAGAACTTTAGAAGCAATCGCCTCAATGCATCTGCTTGTTATTCCAAGATCCTCGGCCCATACACTGAACGCTTTCGTGCTCTGTAACGCAATAATCGAATCCTTCCACCCATGAAGTACAAAAGAATTGAAAAACACTTCGATTTTATATATTAGATTTCCCTTCTCAACATCCTCAGTCATTTGAAGGTATTCTGCTGCACATCGAACCGATACAATGTTGTAGGCACTAAGAGTGATTGTAATGCCATAGCAGAATTTAGCACACAATTCGAAAGCCTCGACTCCTCCTGGAAAGTCGGGGATTTGGACAACTTGATGCTGTGAGGTTTCGGGGCTTTCGGAACATAACCTCTGGAGCCGCAAACATTTGGACAGCAGGGGAAACTGTGTTGTCGAAAAATTCAGAAAATCAAATTCTTGAACAACCAAGAATTAGTTTTTTCATATGAATTGCAATTTCTATTCAAAACTTTCTCTAATATGACAGATCACACACAAAATAGTTAAGAAATTTACCTTGTGAAGTAAATATCTATTTCCTTTCACTTGAACTGTTAGATCACTCGAAACCTCTGATGACACAGACCTGCATCAATAATCGAAATTCTTGATCTCAAACGTTATGGTTTAAGGCCTAATTCTTACTTTCATCAGCAGTAATAAACAGAAAAGCAATCAGAAAACGAGCCAAGTTCACATTTATAATGGTTTACTTTCAACTTGGGAGCTATGTCCCTTCGTTACTAACAGATTTTAACTATAACAAAGATGTCCCACACACTCAAACGCTCCTCCCTAAAGAATCCCTTAATTTATATATTTGGAATATCAGGTCAATCCGTGATCGAAGGGAAAGTTTCCAACATCTCTTTAATCACATACACAAAATAATCACACCATATATTTAAATTTTCTTCCTAATTCGGCAATACTTTTCAAGCAAGGACTACTTTTGTGCGTGGAAAAAAAAGTAGAAATGAAGCAAGAAAATTACCTGACAGCCTCAGTAGTGTAGAAAGTATCAGGTTTTGATCCAAGTTTCATGAACTTCATTTTTGAACCTTGTTTATGTATCTTAAACTCAGCTAATTACCAGAGGAATAACAACATGGCAGATTCAGAAAAACACTTCTTCTCGACAGTAATTTTTTTTTGCTTTTTTGGACAATATGATCTTCAAAAAGTTCCACCTCCAGCTGCAAGTACAAAGATATCGTCGTAGTGAGATAGACCACCACAAACATTCCTTCATTTAATCCCTAAACTCAATAACCCCACCAAACTTTGAAAAAACTTGAAGATAAAGATGTCAAATAAGCACATAATTTTCTTGAGGCAAGAGAAAATCACGATTAAACAACAAAGATAGCCTAAAAATATGTACTCATAAATATGATACGAAAATAGAAAAGATAAAGAATATATTATGACCAAAACCTGCAATTTTTAGATTATTTTGTATTCTAAAATAACTGCCAATCATACTACTGTTTTTTGTGAAGTCCTAGAGTGATATGTTTTCTGGGCCTTGAAGCTTTTCTTGCAAGCGTGCAGATAATGAGAGAAAAGAGATCCCACTCCCTTATTTTGTGTCCCTCTGTCATCATTGCAACAGCAAAAAATTACTAGCACCATTCTTTAGACCAAAGGATTATTTTAGTCAAACACCATTTTATACGCTTAACTGCATACTCCATGTTTTTCATAGCCGGTTGCAGTATTAGCATAAAACTTTATCAAATATTTAGGTAGACGAATATTAGGTAGATTGTACCTCATAAGCAACTGGTACTGGTACTGGTACTGTCTGAAAAGTAAGCAAGGATTCCCGCGATCGAATAGACGACGGTCGGATAAGGAAGACACGTAAATATGTATGAATGCCTGTGTATATGTAAATTATATCGTCACACAAAAAAGTAGGTGGAAAAGTATATAGTATTATTTATTGTGGATTATCATTATTTTGTAAGATGAATATAGAAAAGCAATGAGGAAAATTGGAGACAAAGATATACAAAAAAGAAAGAGAGATTATGTATATCACTATTGAAAGATGGCTTTAAGTATTCTTGGATACTGACCTCAGGTTCAGGATTTATAAATGGGTTCCCTCAAAATTGCCCTTATATTTCTCTAAAATAACAATATTATTGTTCAAGCATTAATTCAAGAGGGCCATGCATTCAAGACCCTTGCTTTTTCTAAAGCAATACATTTTCTTGTATTTCTACAAAAATGAGGGAAAATATTTTCATTTTTATCATTTGAAAGAAACCTATGCATTTGTGGATAAATTCTTAAATTATTGACAATAGAATAATATTGATAGTAATTTATCACATTATATTTTCTTGGCTTAAGGACAAAACATAATGATTCGGATGTTAATACTATATAATTTTAGAGTTCTATCTTAAAATTTCAAGCTAATTAAAAGGTGAAGCTAAAACGCTTATATGTTGATTATTGTTTTCGTATATAGAAGTGATTATTGAGTAGACAAAAAGTAGGCACTCGTAATCGAGTTCCATTTAAGTTTGTCTTCGTAGAGTGACTGGGTTATCAATCCGTGGTTTCCCTACGAGTGGAATTATCGGTTTTAAATCATGTCATGTGAATCCTGTACAAGCAACGTGGAGATTTACCCTTAACATGCCATATAAAATGATGGTTCTTTTGAAATCAATAATATTGGAATTCGATTGTTTTGAGCTTTTTGATAAACCAAATTACTCATTTAAACCTTTACGGGTCAAATACTATTTTTTTGACTCTTGAGTGAATGTGAATGCATCCGATAAACCAAAAGCTGACATTTTTTCCTCGTATTCTTCTTTAATGCTATTTAGTTCAAAGCATATATCTTTCTTAAGGGTGTGCAACCTATAAGGTGGCATGTGGTCAAATCCAATAACTTTTTCTTTATCCTCTTTTGGAGTTTGATTAACATTTTCCTTTTTTTTTACATTGGATTCTCTTATCAGTACATATATACAATTTCTAGGTCCAAGATATTTATAACAAAATCAATGACTGCAAATTTTGTGGCTGCTATAATTTATGTGAGCCCGCTGATTATTCAACAAACCTGGGAGTCATTCATGAATGATATTAACATGTGAAACCTACATTTGTCTTTCTTATTAATGTACTTAATTGTATTGTTTAACATATTAATGATTTCAAACAGCTTGTAAGGTATGAATATGACCTTGATTTTGCATTACTAATATACAATTATAGAATTTGTTCGGTAAGGTAGATTATATAATATTAGTGTATAGTCTTGTATAAGAATCTATAACGTGTTGAAACATCATTGTGGAAAATCTTATAATTTTCAACATCTAGGCATATTCCTAGAGTGTTCCTCAAATAATGTGATGTCTTGCATTAGATAGATTGTAATATCTGGTTGGGTTCACCGGTTTGTGATAAGTTGTAGAGACAAATTAATGTTTTCATGGGGATCCATCTCGAAATTATATTGAGGTTGAAGGGGGACTTGGATCAAA